CCCTCCACCTGGCCAGAGCCATCCCTCACCTATTTGCAATCAATGGTCATCTTCCTCACCATAAAAAACATGACTCACCCACGGGATGGTTCTGATGTCTCAATGAACGTCCTGGCAGCGACCTGTACATTTTTGCCCCCACCTCACTGTATTTTGCATATATTAATTAGTTCGTAGGATGACGCTGAAGTAGCCACCCACAAGGCTACCTGCAAGACTTTGAAAACCATAACCGAGGCTCTCGCAGCGGAGAAGCTAGCTCACAACAGTAAGCGACAGTACGCATGCTACCCTTGACGTAAGCCTGGCCCAATCTCACTCCCAATTGCATAAAACACTTTCTGATGAACATGCCACACACCAGATCACCAGAGTGAGGGCCGAAGAAGAGCGTACCGCATCCAGGGACAAAATTAAGGAACTTGAACAGGCCTGTAGGAGCTCCTAGGTATGGTTTATTCTGTTGTTTCTGTTTTATCTTTGCTGAGCCTCTTACTATTAGTTCATAGGTAGCTTACTGTTGCATACACTGTTGTTTTTTTGGTATTCAAACATCTGCTCGTTCTTACGCCTCATCCCCTCCATCCCTATCTTCTTTCAACTCTGGATCGCCCAATGCCCGAGCGTGCCTTGTTCTGGCTGCTGAATAGGGCCCAGGCAAACAGGTTAATAAGATTTTCCAGTCACGAACATGCAGAGAGCGACTCTGCAGAGGCCCGAGGGTGGTCTCAAAATGGTTCGTGATGTTCCAAAGGTACACTGCAGTCGTCCATCCGAGTCTGATTCCAAATGGTACACTACGATGGCTTCCTCTTCCTCACAACACTATCCGCACTCAACGTGGCTTGACGAAATTGGTTGGCGTCCGAGTCAGTGCACTTCCGACATGGCCATTCTCAATCCTATTGGCACCAGCAATGCAGCAGACCGGCGGAATCAGGTGCACTAACAGCAGCACCCTTTTTGCTTCGAATCTGATGATCCCCACCTCCCAGGTTGGGATCCGGCAGTCACTGTTCCGATCAGGTGCCTAGTGATCTGGAGATGATTTGAGGTATGCAGCGCAGTGATTTTTCGGGCGTAAACTACGAAGAGGTTGAGTGGAAAGAAAAGAGGGCAGAAAGAGGAGGATGGGCTGGAGGTGGGGAGGCCATTCTGTGAGGCTCCTGGAACGACAATTCATCTTCCCGTGTTTCCGACGCCAGAACAAACCCCCCACAGCACCGCCGTCTCTTGAACAGTTTGTCAGCCCAGATCAACCAGCATCCATCCATTCTTGCGCTTTCCGAAACTACACCATTCTACGACCTAAAACGAGTCTGGCGAGGAAATGGACAGTGCCTCAGAGGTCGAAGACAGTTTGTTCACAGAACACGCAGCTCTAGCCTCCACCAACTTACGCCACTGGGCCATCAATCCCCTTGGCGCCCCAACACCTGTGCTGAGGGTCCAGCCTTCACAGCCAACAACCCTCAATTAGCCCATCTATATACTCTATTTGTGCAACCGAGGTTCTCTACTGCCGATCCCATTGTATTCTTATTTTTCAAAATACCCCTGCCCATTCTGCACGGATTGCGCGAGCTCCCCTCCCCTCCTCGTTTTTTCTCTCATCTATGGCTCAAGCTAGTACTGATGCCAAAAAGGAGGAAACATTGACGGTGAGTTCAAGAGACATTTATTGCACCATCTGCAGGTGTTCATCGACCTCCCAGCATGCATTATCGTGCCTCAACATGTCGACACTTATACAATCCACACGAAGATCAGCAGGACTTTGTTATTGCACCCCATATTGTTGTGTGTTGCTTTCTCTTTCAGGTTTTGAGTAAAACGGCTGCTCACTGACTTTTCTTGTGCCTCTTTACAGCCGGATGGCGAGGGCAACGTCTGGGTTCCATTGTTTTCCTTCCTATCATCGCCGCATGTGCCCGCGCAAGTTGCTGCTGCAACCAGCTATGCATGGAAATACCTCAACAACACCCTGGATCAGGTGCACCTGTTTACTTCTTATGTATGCCTCGGTTTAATTCTTTCAATCAACTAGATCATGATGGAGGTTCGGTGAGGAGGGAATGGAGCAGGAGCCAGGTCAGCATCCCGTGTCTTGTACTCCCTTCGCTCTCCATCCCAATTCGCTTGCTGGGCCCAGCATCCGACCACCGTATTTCAGAGGCGAGGTGTTTTGCAAGTTATAGAAGAGATACAAATTGAGTTCGGATATATATGTTCTAATCAATACGACGTCCTTTGTGTGCGAGTATAGCTTGTAGGTATATGCAATGTAGGTATAGTAGGTATATCAATGATTAATTTGCAGGTGTAGAAATCTGGGGAACGGAGATCCCAAGGCTGTGATTTGAAATGGAGTGACAGCGGGCAGAAGTAATTCCGGCAGAGCTAGATTGTCCAACACTTTCTCGGCGGCCTGCAGGAGAAATTGGCGAAGGATGCTGCTACAGACTTTCTCGAGGGTGCTTGCGGGAGGGAGAAGGAGTGGGCGACAGATGGAGGTATTCCTCAAGGTGAGAACGCGAGCTGAGACGGGTGCAGGCCCTGATCTGGAAGGGGCGAGCTTGGGCCCCACGGTTCTTGAGGACAGGAGCCACAAACAAAAGAGGAACTGAGGACTGCTTGCAAATTGATGGGGTCCTTGTACCGATATCGGTGTTCAGGCTCCATAGGACGAGGGGTTTCTTGGCAGATTGTCGCTTGAGTACCGGAACCTCCCTCCTCCTGCTCGAGAAGAGATTAAAAAACAATGAATATCATGGAAGGCAGTTCATACCTTCACCAAAAAATACCTCCAGCTGGCCTCCCGGACTCACACGATACGTGATTGCTGAAAATGGGCAGGGTGATGAGTACCTCGGTGGGGCCCTGGAAACACACATTAAAATGTCAGTAATCGGGATTCAAAGATATATTTAAGCTCGTACCAGCAGGGGGTGAGGAGTGGGCAGGTGGGGACGGTACGGTCCTCGGTGTCCTCAAGCTCCTCGTCTTCGACCTCCATGCTGTCGGGAGACATGGACAGTGAGGACTGCACAGAAGCGGGAAAAGAGATGCGAGGCAGAGGCAGCTGGGGTGGCAGGGGATGATTTCTGGAGTCTGGCCGTCTTCGTACACCTTGCTGTCGTCGAAGGAAGGAACGGTGAGGGATAGGCAGATGGGATCACAAAAGAGGGATGGAGTGGTAGGGGAAAGAGCGGCCATTTCCAAACACTTCGCACGCTTGACGTCCTGCTCCACCTTGGAGATCCGAGGTGGCTTGATTGCAATCTGCCACGTTGTACATGCGTTGCACCACACACAATTCTACAACCAGTATAATGACTCGGAGGTCCAGTTTGACAGAAGGAAACGAACCCGTGGGGTACTTTGGGATGATGCTGGGAAATCTTCGGCTTCTTATAGGTACAACTAGAATATTGGAGCGAGGAGGGGAGGGAGTGGAAGATATGAGTAGGCTCACAACGGAGCAGACACATCCATTCCTACCCTCAGCAGCGGTGCGAAGATGTTCTTGATCAAAGGTATGGACTTTCCCAAGATGTAGGCTCTCTTTGCATAGATCCCGGATGAAAATGTAGAAGCTGCCAGAAACAACGCAGATCCCATCCCCAGCAATTGGGCTTAAGACCCACACTGCAGGACACTGTTTTCATGAGAGCAAACATGATTCTCCTCCGAGAGTAGACAGCTCTCGAAAATCTACCGGGAGTGACATGAGCAAGACGGAATTGCTGAATTCGTCGGCGACTTACCCGAACAGTCCAACGGGACAGGCCACACCACACACCTCGTGAAACGCCTAGGCGAGCCCGTACTGCACCACTGTTCAACCCTTCAAACTTGTACCCCTCACATATTTCGTTGATGGGGCAACAACATGCCGTCCCAGGTCTTCCACAGCTTGACCCAGGGCACTGGCAGGACCTTAAAGGCAGGGTCTTCAATGGTGTTGAGAACGGGCCTCGCTATCTTTCATACTGGGCATTGGACATGTCGGAAAGAGTGTCACCTGGTGTCGAGGTGTTGTGGTTGCGGACAAGTGGTTGATGTGGCTGTGTCCTATCTTTCCTTTTTTTTTTTTTTTTTTTGGAGGTGTGTTTGTTATGACCTTTGGCAACTAATAATGGATTAGCCCCTTGGGTCCGCAAAAGAACGTAGGGGACATGTGACCCTACTCCAAAAGGCGGGAATGCTTTTACACACGAACAGCAGATGCCGAACAGTGTGGGGACTCAACCAACATCAGGCAAAACCTGGGTATGCTATGTACCATTACATAGGGACCTCTAGTAGTCTATAGTGCCCATAGTGCCCATAGGCCTCTAGTGAAGGTCTTTATCTACATAGCACTACAGTTCAACTATGGAGCGCTATGTCCAACTATGCAGTACTACAACCTACTATGCCAGACTATGCCACTATGGCGCTAGAGTCAAAATCAGGGTTTGCTGATGAAACTAAATTGGTAATACCCACTAGAACCCTACTGGGACGGCTTCACCGGGGTTTGAACCCTCGACCTTAGCAAGGCCCGGTGATCTCTGATTTTACTCAGAGACCAGAGGTGCTGGTTACCGTTATATCATGCATCCCCTGTCCTATCTTTTCTTCCCTGCGTCCGTGTTCGGACGCGGGGTGATATCCCTTTTTGAAGCCACAGATCACTGAGATCAGACATATTGAGCCCAAAATAGCAGTCGACGCCGATCCTTCTTTGTGCCTTGCAGACAATTCGCAAAACACAAAAAAAATACAGACCATATCTGAGAACTTTCTTTAGACTGTTCAATTTATTTTGGCTTTATGTATCTGCGCGCATACGCCGTTACAGTGCGGCCAATCTCGCAGCCCGCTGAGAGCATCGCCGGCTTGTTGCTAGCCAACAGATTTCAGAGTGCATCGCCACCTTCACGCGATATACTCAGCTTATTTTGCCTGGCTACGCCACAACCGGGCCTGTAGAGCACCAGTCCATGTTCCTCCGTGCCTCCATGATTCAGTTGGATAATGACCCTTCTCGTGAGCGACGGCTTTGCATGGAACGGCGGTCGAGGGTTCGAATCCCTTTGGAGGCACCAGGCTCAGCGACTTATGCCGTCTGACTAAACATCAGAACTCGGATCATGGGCATTTGAGGCAGGCATGGTGACCAAGAATGTGGCAAGTACGCGCCAACGGGATCGAGTGGGTGTCACCAGTCCGCCCAATGCCACCATACATACCTCCCCCACCGGCACCAAGTTTTTTTTTTCACTTATTTTTGTTGGATTTCGTACGATCATTTTCAATGAATTTTGTTAGGTTGCATGCGCGTGTTGTTTTAGGATCATATACTCCGAAAACGATCTGACCTTGTTACTCGCGCAGACCCACTCTCGATTCCCACCAAGATGCCTCAGAGATGTCCCTCCAGCACGCCCCATTGGACAAGTGGGAACCTTTCGTAAATTCCTTGATGTCATCCAATGCAGGTAAAAGGTGGCTGCAACGTGTTACCTTCATGAGGGTCATGGCGTTAGTCATCAACACAGTCCCATTTCGCTAGGTTTGTTTTAGTCCAGTTTTAAGCGCGGGGGTCCGATCAGGGTTGCCCTTATTACATAATCACGTTTGAGGCCTTTGCCCAGTCCTTGAACCTCAAATATATCCGCGGCAGAATAGTAGAGGTGTTTTCTGGGCACCCAAATTTTCTCAGATTTTTCGAGCACCGTGGGCCGAAGCTATTGATGAGTGAAGTTGATGGGTTTTTGGCACGTTGATGTCCCATCGCATTGAAGTATGAGCTGTTGCGTGGATTCAAGCACCATTTAAAAAATTCAAAGCGGCAGATCATCTCCAAAAGGCTCTAATGTCGAGTTCCACACCAAGAGAACAGAGAAAAGGGTGCCGCAGAGCGAAAACGACCAAAACGCAGCTAAGCGAAGATTACGTAACAAGAGCGAACCCTGATCGGACCCCCGCGCTTAATAACAGACTTCAACAAACCGAGGTACGAGGTTGATCTTGTTGAAGCGTCTGGCTCTGAGAGACTAGGTTTGTTTTCTTAGGAACGAAGATGAAAGGAAGTCTCTCCGGAGCCTCCTTATGGTCTTTAAGCTTGTCATATATATATATAATGACGGGTAAGACCTAGGCGGTGAAGGTATAGTACAGATTCTCCGCCAGAAGCGGCGGCCTCCTTCGTTGAATTCCGACTCGAAAGAATGTGACATAGACCCAGGCATAAGCCTGGCGGAATTATGAGATGCATGTAGCGGCCAAATATAATACAACCACCTCCGTCCCAGTGTGAAACCTCCGTTCTTGCTCCGTTCAATCATCTCCAACAGTTCATTGGCGCGATTCTGTGCTGATGCGGAGAAAGCGCACATCGGTGCTGAAATTTAATCGGCAAAGGAAACTCAAAATAGACCGCCTTGCTCACGTCGGACCGCCGGTATAGCAGCCAGGCTCCATCCATGGGACGTACAACACGAGGTACGAGCGTCTGTCTAAGAGAGACTACACGGGACGCTGATCGTGCTCGTTTGAACAACAGGTCATCGTACTTGCTCCTACTAGTGTTCCTTGAGTGTTCCACAACTGGGACAACCTGTCAAATGCCCGTCGTTTGCTGAAATCTGTAGTGTCCCAGAGTAGTCTGGGGGATGGTCGTACCTAAGCCTGGAGGTATGGTAAGCTCGCCGGTTCCATTGAATACGAGTCGAGACCAAGTCGTTGAACAACTCGCACAAACAACCGCCCAAACTTGAAGCCCAATTCGGAAATCGCGATTTTGGTTCCCGGGAAGCCTGTTGGTCCAAGACAATGAAGCTAGTACAAGAAATCTGCACCAGAAAAGAGTGGGCCTAGAACAATAAAGATACATTTGCCTGCACGTACATGTTAGCTAGATTCAAGTCCATCCTTTACCGCTCCCTCGCCCACCCCCGTGCCCCCGCTCCTTCTCTACCACAAATTGCGCGTCCCGGATCGTGATCGCCGTCCGCGTGTCCTCTTCTACCGGTGTGGGGGCAGGCGCCTCCGCCGCACCGGTCTTTTTGGGAACGTACGCGCGCGCCCAGCCCGTGCCTCCGGTGGTCGTCGTCGCAGTGGTCCCTGCGGGCGTAGACGTCGCCGGCGTAGCTGAAGCCGCCTTGACGGGTTTCGCCGCCGCCGCGGCAGCATTACCCGCGGTCATCCACGAGTACTTGCCGCCAATCCCCGCGGCCTGGCTCGCAACGGCGTTGGACATCTTCTTGCGGACGTCCTCCGACATGTTGCGCGCCGTCACGCCCGGGCCGTCCTTCTTCTTCTTGCGCTTCCCGCCCTCGCCGTCATCGTCGTAGTCCATGCTCGCGCCCCCGCCGCCCGCCGCCTGCGCAGCGAGCGCCGCAGTGTGGGCGGCGGTCATATCCGCGCGCTCCTTGCGCTCGCGGCGGACCTTGGTCTCCTCCTCGCGCTCGATGCGCTCCAGAACAGCGGCCTGCTTCGCGACGTCGCTGCGCACGACGAGGCTCCACATCGGCAGGCCTTCGCCATAGAGCGCGGGGCGGTCGAATTGCGTGTCGGTGCGATGGCGCGCGGCGACGCTCATCTGGACGACGAGATTCTCGAGGCGCGTGCGCAGCGCAAGGGCGACGTAGACGGCGATCTCCTCGGGGACGCCGCCCGTGAGTTTGTGGTGCGCGGCGATCTCAGCGAGGCGCGGCTTGAGGAGCTCTAGGTCAAAGTTGGGATTCAGCGGCTGCGTACGGGAGCGGTCGAGTTTCGGACGCGAGGAGGAGGACGCGGTGGATTGTGTCGTACTAGCACGCAGTTTTTCTTCCTCTGCCTGGTAGTTTTTCGACTATCAGCGCTGGATGTGGTTACACTGACTGGCCAACGCACTTGGAGGTCGACGCCTGCACTTCCTACTGCGTCGTTAAGTGTCGCGACGTTAGAAGAGTCCTGGGTGCTCTGCCGCGCAGGTGTGGGCGCAGGGGCATATTGCTGCTGCTGAGGCTGGTAGGCCTGATACGCAGCCTGCTGCTGCTGGTAGTGCTGGGTATAGCCAGTATATGGTGTGTATGGGGTCGCCCTGGACTGAACTGTATCAACAAGCGGGGCAGCTCGAGCGGAAGGATAAGTTACGGGGACGGGTGAGGTTGAGCTGAGACTGGGACTGCAGAGCAGGGTCGATAGGGATAACTGCGATAGAATAAGTAGGAAATAAACTGAATACGAGAACACGCACGAGAGTCCCAGTCCGGCGCCGCAGGAGTCCCCATGTCGCAAGAGGAAAGTCGTAAAATGCAGGTGCAAACAGGATTTCTTCAACCTACCACCATGAGCCAGGCTGCAAAAGAGAAGGTTTGCGCAGCATATCCTCCCAGTTGTATACTGACATTGTACAGGGAAACCAGCCTTCAAGGCAGGCGACTACCCCAGCGCGATCGGCCATTACAGTGCCGCCATCCATGCCGACCGCACCGACGCGACTTTCCCTCTTAACCGCGCCGCCGCGTACCTCAAGCTAGGCAAGTATGTTCCGCTCGGTCGTACATCCATTATCTCCTCTCAACAAGACTGTTTTAACTTTAGGACCGAGGACGCAGAGCGCGACTGCTCGACCGTTCTTACGCTGAGTAAAGGCAATGTAAAGGCTTTATTCCGGCGCGCGCAGGCGCGGGTGGCGATGGGGAAGCTGTCCGAAGCCCAGAAGGGTGTGTAGATTCCAACTGCCGCGTCCATCGATCCGCTCATGATTTCCACCAGATTTAAATGAAGCAGCGAAACTGGAGCCCGCGAACCAGTCAGTGAAGCAAGAGCTCACCGAGGTCGCGGAGCTGATCCAGCAGGCCGCAAAAGTATTAATTGTGTTCCGTTCACTATTTTTCTAATGCGAGTTTAGAAATCGAAGATCGTCCCTGCGGACGTGTCCCCCGCGCCAAAACGCCGTCGGATACCGATAACTATCGTTGAAGCGGATGGCCGACGGACCACGCCCGCCTCGGTGGATGCTCCCAGCGCGTCCTCGGCCCCGAAGATTGCACCGACGCCGGCTCCGAAAACGAGCGCAGAACCAAATAATCTGATGAACGCCGTTTCATCCCGGCCGTTAAACGCGGGCGCGCCGTCTACCGCACCCACCTCATCCATCACACCCGCCCCCGTTCCGCCACCAACCGACTCTCAACCAAAGTCGAAGCCCTCGTCGTTCAAGGACGCGAAAAGCGCGCGGGACAGCAGCAAACCGAGCCGCGTGGGCGGGGGGATCTTCCGCGCGTCGGGAGACCACACGATCTTTCCGACGCGGGAGGCGAAGCCTCCGCCAACGACGCAGGAGTCATCGGCGGCGAAACAAGAGCCGAAGACGGGGCAGGTAGTAGCCCCGCCGAAACAAGGGCTGCCTCCGCCGCCAGCGCCCGCGCCCGCGCCGAATTCCCCCGCGCCAGCGCCAGTCCCTGCACAACCAACAGCGCCTAAAAACGCGCACACCCCCGCCACCTTACTTAAATCCCCGATGTCCCTCTTTGACTTTACACGCGCCTGGGAGGGCACGCCCGCTCCCACCGAGCGCTTCGCACTACTTTCTGTACGTGTCCCCCACTTACCCATGTTACTCGCACTCACCTCGACTTGTTCCCCAGCGAATCCCGCCCGACGCGCTCCCTGCGCTCTTCCAGACGTCACTAGAGCCCGCGCTGTTCGTCGAGGTCGTCGACGTCCTCGGTGCTGCGGCGGGCACGGGCGCAGACACAGAGACGGCCGCGGCCTACATGCACACGTTCCCGCGCGTGCCGCGCTTCGGGACGGTCGTGCGCTTCCTGAGTGCCGCGGAGAAGGCGCGCGTGCGCGCCGTGTGGGGCGCGCTGGGCGTCGACGCGGGCGGTGCGGGGCTGGAGGACGTGTGGGGCGCGGTGTACCGCTGACCTGTGAGCGCATATTTATCTCACGTAGACTGGATTGATATCGCATTTTGCATCATTTCTTTTTGGCGTGAGCGCGTCTCGGCGGAGCTCGTATGCCCTGCATACATCACACGCGGCCGCATCCCCGAGCCCCGCGGATGATCCCCGCGCCTCGTTCAAATGTGATTGTGCAGGGGGCGCGC